AAAATTTCGCGACCCGAAAACCTTCGCAAGTCCTTCATGGAATTAACGAGCGAACTCCTGAAGAGATGCTACACTAACTAAGCGTCTGATGTGGCCCCTGTACTGTATTTCGTATTTCAGGAGACGCACCAAGCAATGCACATACCTTGTTCAGCGGCCGAGTTCGTTTCTTGTTCTGGCCTCTCGGCGCTTCCGTTCCCTTCGCTCTTTTCTCCGTCCGTGCCGGGTAAGGCGAATCTGTGAACGCGGATCGAATATTCCGTGAACGAATCAAAATAATGAGGGGAATCGAAGAAACGAACGTGTTTTCCTCTACGGGAACGAAAAGTTCCTTCCTCACTCTTTCAGAGACATAATAGATTGAAGAGTTTTTTCTATGGACTCCACTTTCTTCCACAAATCCTCGACATTGAAGGAGCGATCCGTCTCGTTGGACGTGCCAGCTCTTTCCATATTTTCTTTAATCGCGGACTTGATCTGCTGCATAGTGTCACCTTCGAATCCGTTAGAAATTCTCCTTGAAGACGGGAGGAAAGAGGAGAAGATACCCTTTTATAGAGCGATCTGTAGCCTAAAAAAATCAACTTTTTTGGTTTAAATAACACGTTCAATCGGTAAATGAGAATTTTTGAATGGCTATTCAGTCTGTCGAACCTAGCGAAGCATCTCAAAATTTTCCATTGCATTCTGACAATAGCCCGGACTCGGATCCCTTTCAGGTTATGGCCTGGTAATGGCCCTGTCCTGGCCAGAGGGCCTACAGCCAAATGTTGCCAGTTCGTTCCTTCCGCTTTTCTCTTAGGAGGGGAATATTCCGCGACGGGGGAAACTGGGTGCACGATTTGCGACATGCCTGGACTCACCTTCCCAATCGTGTTCTGTCGTATCAGGAAGAAAAGACGTGCGACGGATGCGACCGAGAACGTTCCTCGTTGTCCTTCAGAGCATCACTCGGTTTGTCCACCGGACGAACTAGTTCGGGCATCGGGTATGCGTTTCTTTTCATTCTTATTGCAGGCGTCTCTAGGCAACCGACAGAAAGGCGGGTCCCCGCAATCGCCTTCCGATTGTTTACCCTAATCAAGCGGTTCCCTTTGGGTAGGCATGCATTCGCAAGAACTACGTTATTTTATTTCCTACCCTACTTTAATAGTGGCTGGATCTCTCTCTTATTTTCAGACACGCGAAGATGAAACCACTACCGATCCGGCGCAAACTTCCCTCTAACGATCCGTCGAAGCGAATCATATGGAGACTGACGCGTCGAAAGAATTCACTGACAGGAATAGCCATGTCAGGACAGGAATATGACAGGAATAAAGTTCAGCGCCACTCCCTGTTTAATATTGAATTCGCTCTGGACCGAGCCGCTGATGAAATTCAGTCAGCTCATGAGGCTCACGTGCGATGTAATTCCGATCACACACCCTAAGCAAGCACTTTTTTTATAGTTAACGCGAAAACACGCTTTATTGCTATTGCATGCACAAGCAAACGAGCTAGCTCGTTAGCGTCTGTCACAAGTTTATGCTGCATGAAGATCGGCCACACCCTTCTGACTGTCGTCCGAAATGACGAGAAATACACGAGCCGTGTGTACACGAGTACGCACGGCATATTTAGGTCGGTCACGATCAGGCAGGAGGCATTTGTCCAGGCTTGGATCTGTTTCCAGAGCATCTCGTATGTTCTGCAATATTTTCTGCAAGTTCTTGGGTAGGGCTCGTAATATCCAAAGCCGATTCCAGTCCCGCTGCCGTGTTTCTTAACGTCTGCCATTAAAACACTTTTTCCGTTCCAGGGTGACGTCGTATTTCATAGAATCAAATCAGGAGTATGAATTAAAAAAAAAGAAAAACTCCCCCAATTCAATCTAATGAAGTCGCCCATCAAACTCCATTTTTTCACATATGGAAAAATATCCCTTTCTGCGCGTATTTGATGCAGGATCGATTTTCATTTCGGAGTCTTTTGTAAGTGAAAACCAACAATTGAAAGGACAGTTGAGAATGCGACGATTCAAGAACATAAAACTCACATAAAAATCTCCATGCGGTACTTCGCATATCCCGGCCGACATGGATCGATGGCGGAACAGATAAATTACCAAAACAATAGATTCGTAGATAATCCATGTATCATTTGGGAAAGTGTTTTAGGCTCCCAATTTGCTTCATCATATCATTCGCAGGAGGAAGGAAAACTTGCCACGAAATAGGTGGAATGCAAATGCTCCAAATCGTAAGGATCCAACTTTTTTCGGGTCTCGAAGAGGATAATTATCCTTCCCCTTGAATGGCCAGGCCGAAGTGCCATAGCCTTATGCTGTTAAGTACGAGTAGCAGCGGAAAGACTTCGTTTTTCGGCTTTTCCCTTAGGAGAAACATTTCCAACGAAGGGGGGAATGCGCGAATGCTTCAACGATGAGAAAATGCGTGGACGCGCCTTCGCAATTGTATCGGGAAGAGGTGACACGCCTCCAAGGACGTACCTCGTCGGTCTTCAAAGCGTCCTTTTGTCCGCCGATCGATTTGGCTCGTGCATTGAACCTGCGTTCTCCTTCCGCCTGAGCCGGACTCTGGATGACCGGCCGAGTGGCGGACACCGCGATTGCCTTACCACTTGCGTACCGCAATGAAACGATTTCCCTCGGGTAGATATGCATTGATGGAAACTACGTTTTTTATGCCGTCCAAATTGAATAGTGGCTGCACCTCGAACCATTTTAAGAGATGAGATTTCCGAACTACTATCGATCCGGCCAAGTCCTCACCCGTCGTTTCCGTCAAGGCGTATTTCTATCTGATGGGTCGGAGAGAATGAAACTATTTTAAAACCTCCCACAGAGGAAATGTGTCAGGGGGCCGTGTTCTTCCTAAGTTCGATTTTCTTATTCGAGCAGAAGATGAAGTAAATGAAATACATCTGGGTTCCGAAGAAAATGCTTGTCTCTTATAAGAAGTTTCTCGAAGGGAAAATTACATATTTCCCAATCCGGCCATCACGAGATTTATTTCGACGGTCCCGTCTCAATCGCATGGAAAAGCCGTCAACGGGGGTGACTGGCTCATCGCAGGCAGCGACAGAGATGTCCAGCGTGTGTCTGCTGCATATCCTCGCATCCGGAGGTTGTCACGTTCTGCGGACGTGTGTCCGACGTCTGAGGATGCCTGGGATCGCTTCGACCCTCCAAATGTGACTGCCGTCTCGGCTTGTCAGCCGCGAGACGCGGTTCATGCGTTGAGACTGCTTTTAGCGTCGAACCGTTGTGCGTCTCGTTCTGTGATCTGATGGACGGCTGACGCCACGATCGTCTTCCCAGTCACGTTATTGAGTCGAGGGATCGACCTTAAACTAATTGGCTTCACCTTTGCCATACTTTTTTTTTGTCCCACTTCCAAGTGGCTACTGTACGAACGTTTATAGCCGTTGCATGCACAGTCATAGGAGACAAGCCCATTGTGCGAGTCTGTACCGCGAGTTTGTAGTGCCTTAAGATACACATCGACGTACCACCCTAACGGGGCTTCGTAACGAGGATAAATCAAAGGCCATGAATATATGAGTACGCACCGTATCACTAGATGACTAACAATCAAGCATGCATAATTAATTATTCACGTTTAGGTGCGTTTGCAATGCATCTCTTATTATCTACCATCTCTGCACTTCGGATCGAACACGCCTCATCTGATGGAGTCGATTCTACACTCTTAGAAAACTCCGAGCGTCTGGGGAGTTCGTGAGTCGAACGATCAACTCATGCTAGTTGAGTTGACCTCTGTCGTCCCGATTGAGTTTCATCCGTCCTGCTTACTCGTGGTTTGAGTACGAACTTTTATTCCTGTTAGATGCATGGGCATGAGAAACAAGCTCATTATGTGCATCCGTTTTGTCAGTATATACTGCCTAATGATACGCATCGATGTTATCACTCGAACGGTACTTCGTAAAGAGGAAAAATCTTAAGCCATTAATATTCCAGTACACACGGTATCCCTCACACTCACAATCACGCATAAGTCATCCATTATTCAAACTTTGATGTGTTCACAATGCATATCTTATCATCAGCCGTCTCCCCACCTAGGACAGAACACGCCCTTTCCGACACGCTGCATTTTGGATCTGCATGCCTTATACTGTACAGTATAATAGTCGATTTTTGTCCTACTGTCATGTTCTCGTTGCCCCTGATGCTCTTCCTTTCACCCCTTTTCGCCCACGCCATGGGGCATGTACCAGCCCCTTCACCTTCGCCCGGATAACTACTTTCTCCGGCCAGACTTGCCCTTAAAAGGTGGAGGTCTCAGAATATTTGGAGCATTCGCTCAACACTTCTCGACGGTGCCATTCGCGCCTGCCGACCCCCCACTTCTCGGCAGAGCGTCTCGAGAGTCTCCCATCACTTCCAGGCAACAGCACTCCAACCACTCTCCCAAATCCTGGTGACCTCCATTTGCAGGATGGTTTATTGAAGGGATTAAACCTTGCTCGTGTTGGAATCCTGTCGAGCCTATTCTTCCATGTTCGCCTGAGGCTTGGCGCAAACCCACGCAAGCCTCCACTCATCCACGTACCCCTCCACAGCGTCATAACGCCAACCACGTGACGCTACTGCTATGTTTCCCAAACTCGATTCACTTTGCAAAGGAAAGGAGGACATTGGCTGCACGGCCCCTTCAGTTATGTTCCACCTCCGAAGCCCTGCTTAAGGTGAGGCATAACAGAACAACGAGAATGAGGGAGAAGGAAAGACAAACCAGAACGGATCCTTCAAATTGCCCAAACAAATTGGGCAAGAAGCGTTTATGGCGAGGATAACCATGGAGTGAAGATGCTCTACAGAGCTTGAATCTACCCCTCACTGAAAACATGGGAGGGAAAAAAACCTTGAACAACTCCCGAGTGAACATGAGAAGTCGCGAGAGGTGAGTAAACCATGGGATAAAGGCAATATCGAATCCTTCAGAATAAAAGCAAGCCTTGAGCATGACTACGGAATGCCTGAATATGAAATGAGCGATAATCCAGAAAAGCGACAAAATCAAAATTTATGAATCAATGAAAAGTAAGTAGGTAATAAATAGGGTACATTATATTAATTGTTGCAACTGCCTGTAAGTGTACATAACTGGGGGCCTCTTTGGAGCCACTCATCATACGCATTTTAAAGAGCCAATGACGTCTATCTGACATTGCTTTAAGGCGCGCAAAATGTTCCCATGCAGCCTCAGAAGAAATGCATGGTATTACATGGACATGTGAATTTGACCGAATATATTTTCAAAAATGCGACTGGAATCGAAGTATTTTTCCGTCTATAATGCTTGGGGGGGAAGTGGAAGAATAAAAAAGGCCATTCCAGTTGAAGGTCTCACTAAGGGAAGAGGTGGCATGATATACTGAGTGATGAAGAGAAGCCACATCTCTTGCATGCTGGGATCAGATGGGACTTGGTAACACATTCATTCCGCTTAAGCAAACTCTCGTACCATAGTTTCAATAATACATATATGTAAGCTGAGTATACAGAAAGGGACTTCGGCAAAATTTCATTACATTATAATAAAGTCTGGAGAGAATGTTGAAATTCTAATTCCTAGTTATGTTGAGTACATGGGACCTGTCTCATAGTCTGTGCCACAAATACAGGGTGGCGTACATAAAAGTGTGCCCCAGCACTGCCCGTACAGCACGGTTACTGCAGCACGACAGTACTTGTCGGTACATGTCCCCACACACTTGGAAGTAGGAAAAGGAATGACGTGCAATGCAACGAGCGCCCCAGTCTGTGCCTGGGAAGGGGATTTGTAACAAGCCACACTTGGTGAGCCAGCGCATCGCGGAGCTGTAATTAAAGAGCCAACGTGAAATTCCTAGAGCGACAGTAATTGAAAGAAGATTCGTGCAAAAACTTCAAAGAGACAAAAAGCAGAAAAGAGTTGAAAGGTACCGAGAACTGTTGTTGAGATTTCCAAATGAACTGAATGTGGGAGATACGAGATGAGAAAATTTCACGTTGAAACACCATTGAATAGGCAAAATTCCCGTTCTCATGGTGATGTTCCATTGCCAAAAGCGTGGCGCATCAACAGCGAGACTGATCCAGGATCGTAGTCATTTCAAATAGAAGTATTGGTTTCTTTGGGAGTCTCCCAGCTCGGAAAAACATGAAAACTTTTTGTTGAGCCAGGAGCAAAGTTTGATTCCAACTCGTACGATAGGGACCACTTTCAGTCCAGTGTGTGGCTGTCACACAGCAAAGCAGAAACGTACAGTCAGGTACACATTTTGTACGTTATGAGGTACAAACGTTGTCGCAAAATACCTTCGTTGAAAAGGTACAGAAGGTACACATGTGTACCTTTCTTATCTCTATTCACATCGGGCTTAAGGGGGTTCAAAAACCGGTTCTAAACCTCAATTGAACTGCACTGAGAACCCGGACATCTGCGTCAGCAACGTACACATGTGTACGTCTGGACCACACGTGCAGACCCGAGGGACACAATATGTACCTCTCACATTTGTACCTCTCCTTGTACGTTTCTACTTTGCTATGCAGTTGTTAACATATTACCTACTGGCGAGTTTGTTTTCCCATAGGGCAAACTCGTTATGGATAGGCCTCTGGAGCATTGTGAACAAATAAAATTTATAATGCATTTAAGGCATTTGTTTTCGAAGCGCACCCCTAATGACACGGTCATTTTCATTGGTTAATGGGTTTGGCTGTTCTTGTGCCTTCGGCTCTCGCACCCAAAAATGAAGTTACTTCAGGAAATTCAGAGTGGCATCATATGACTTCCTGTAAGAGAATCGGCATGTAAAAACTCAGTGCGTCATTTTATGTTCATAATTGAATTTAATTCATGTCTATGGTAGTCCAACTCTTACCACATAAATCTCCAAAAACATATCGTGGGAGACACACACGCTCATGATTTTAGCGATTAAGCGCATTGATTATCTGGAGACTATGGGGAGTTTTATCGTGACATTCTTATTTATACTTGGACACGAGGACTCTTACAAAGCCCTTTTGTCAAACCCTTTCTAAGGCTACAGAAACTTGTCCATGAGAAAATAAATCGTTCCATAAATATAGCCTATCGTTATTCGAGTTCTCGTTTCGTTAAGTGTGGGCATTGAAATAGCATTGACCTAAGCGTCCGTAAGTGTACAGGGCATAGTCACTCTGAATTGCAATATGTAGAAAAAGAACTTCCTACCTACCTTTCCCCCAGTTGCAAAAATACTGAAAACGTAACCCATCCGCAACCGTACCTGTGCCAACAAACCTTGTCCTTCCACCTAGCCTTAGACCCAGAACGGCATAGGTCAAAAGGCCTCGCGCCTCAGGCTAAGACAGCAGGATTCTTCATTCTCAAGTTCCTGGAAGCGAATGGGTCAGGATTGGTGCAGGCCTGAGCGACTCTATGAGGGTTAGATATAGACCTATTAAATAGGATTTGCCTGTCTATTAATTACTATACAGTATTCAGCGGACATAACGGGATTGACATACTCAAGATGATGAGCAAGAAGCACATTTGCTATGGTTTCTATGAAACTCTCCAAAAACATCAACAGGCTCCTTTGTTTTTTGTTTTTACTCTTGTGCCGATATTCTTCTTCGTGAAGTAAAAAAAAAACACAATCATGCTGAATATAGAACTAGCTCCTAAGTGAAAGTAGCAATTCTAGAACGATATGTAACATATTGTAATTTATGATTGTGATTGTTTATGATATTGTAAGTTCTCATTGTAATTTCTTAATTTCTTAAAATATTGTCTTCTGCGCATTACATAGGAGGTGTATTTCAAGATGAGCACAGGATTTTGTAAGAAGTAATAAGGCTTCCTATTGCATCAGTAGTTGATTTTATCAGAATACGAGGGGTGTTCCAGAAGTTTCCGGAAAGTATTTTTTTTTTAATAATTAGAGGTGATTGAAGATAGAAGTTTTAACGAAATACTCCATTGGCTCAATGCTCAAAAAATCTGTTTTATTCCGCCACTCTTCTAACAAGGCCGAGTCCAAGGATTCGCAGACCCCCGTGTGATGACAACTCTTTAAATCCTGCGAAATCGCGGGAGGGAAAGAATATTGAAAGTATATCCTCTTCGATTTTCATTTCCCTGATTTTCCGTCAGAATTCGATGAGTTACATTCCTCCTCTCCTCCCTTCCTCCTCCCCAAACCGCGAATTCCCAAGTCGCTCGATTGTCCAGGTCGCATCTCCGCAGTTTCGACATCGAAAGAACGATCATTGGAGTATTGACCTCCCCTTTCCGTACTTCTTTCTCCATTTCTCGAGGGCCAACGAGTGCGATGGACAAGCTGGAGGGCTAATAAGCCCTATTCGTCGACCTTAATTTCCTTAATCTCCTAATCCCGACTTTTTTTTTCCCAGCGACATCAGAAAGTGAAAGTCATAAAATATACAAATCACAAACTTTGCAATCGTTCACGAAAATCCTTTTTCAGCCTATTCGCAAAAATTAAATGTACAAAAGAGGATCTCGTAACGGAAACTCATTCACATCATCGCATCTCACCCAAGAAACCGGCAGGAAAGTTATTATCGAGGCTGATCAAAACAATTTACCTCATTTAATTTATTGATGCACGCGTTCAATCTGAGCCTTGTGGAATTGGGACTTGAGCCAAACGGCAATAAATTCCAAGCATTCGTAGACCCCAATGAGCGATACCCCCAAGTAGAGCCCGACCATCCCTCCGATGCTGGAGAGAAACTGTTCCAGCGATGTCAGCTCGTGCTCGTTCACGATCTCGACCTGAAAAGCATTACGGGATGAAATTCTTCGTCCGAATGAGTGGACTTTGGAAAAATGGCTATCCTTGCTATGAAGGTCATTCGAGCATGCGAGAAAGCGATTGTCGCTTCCTGCAATTTGCCTCGACGGAATATGGGAATATTACGAATTTTCAAGGCGAGTAACTCACTTCCGCTTTGGGAGTGTTCAACTTGATCACGCCGTAATGCGGATCGTAAGGAAAATCTGGATCGTCGAGTTGGATCGCGTTATAAGTCGTCCTCTTGCATTTCCTCTTGCATCCAGGATCGAAATGCTTCTGCACTCCATGGTAGTAGTTTATCAAGTCTCTTTCGTCTTGAGAGGTGTTGCACTGGCGCATCGTTGCCGCCTGGTCGTCTTTCATCGGCAACACCGACGACTTGACGCATGGGGCTTTCTTCATTAACCTTTCCGCAATTGCCGTTTCCACGCACTGTTGGTCATCCATTGATATCTATTTCATAATGAGAGGAGACAGGATAGACGATAGGGTTGGGCTGGAATTACCTTCTTGTAGTCGTAGTTCTCATCCGCATTGCACTTATTGCCTGATGGCAGGAAATTATAATACTTCATGCACAGACTCAGCATGTAACTCTTCCCGTCCAAGAGGAAGAAGATCTGCCCCGATAACGTGATGTTCCTCACTGCTGTGAACGGTTCCTGCGAAGAGTCTATGCGAATCTGGTAATATGGATTGCCCGATTTATCGAATTTATTGAAATGATCGAATTCATTAACGGAGTCTTTGAAACTCAGACCAAGTTCCATGACGGGGGAAATGGAAGAAAGCGGCATCCGGAGCTCTGATTTAACGTGGAGAGTGTAGCAAAATTTGAGGGGCGAATCCGAGCCATGCCAATTCACGATCGGCGACTCTCTCCAATACCCCGCTGCGAAAAGTCGCGATATCCTCCTTCACACGTTCTTCAAGAAACTGAAAGAGCGATGGGAAATGTTGATCGGACATACCGTCGGTTTCGTAGACACGGCTGCCGTCGATCCAAGTCCAGCCGTGCCGAGGTGAGCAAGAAGACGATTTGTATGGATGGGGATATATCGTGCAGGTAGCCACGATTTTAGGAAAGTCCGTTAAGGTGAACGAATTCAGTGCTTCCAAGACACTAATGTTAAGCAGTTTCTGAAACAAGCCACTCCAAATGGATTTGTAAGCTGTAATCCAGGTCTCGTTGAGGACCTTGAGCGCAGTGAAGTTCCACGCGATTCCGGGACACACCGTGACCTCAGGAAACTCGACGCTGCTCCGGGTCTCGATCCGTATATTCTGGGCCGTTGGATTGCTCCTGAAGTACTGTATCAACCCATTCGCCTGCTCGACGAACCGAATATTTTAATTAGAAATACTTTTCATCGGTTGAATCTTTTTAAAAAATGACGATAGCTGGGAGTTACAAACCTGAATGATGGTGAGTGAGAGTCCCGTACATAATATGAGGATCCATAGTAGTTTCCGTATCCCCGACCTCCGTGCCATCCCGCAGTCGAACTTCGGATGAACCGACGGACCTGAAAGATCCCATCGACAGTGGTCATCTCCGCCTCGTCGTTGGAACCGTCTCAGACGTTCAGGAGGGCGTCAGCGCCCAGGCAGCATCAGCCACATGATCCCGCGTCCCTCGTATATTCCTCGTCTCCTTCGGACGTAAGTCAGATGCCTCATGCTGCCTGTGCGAGACCGTAACAGCTCATTTTCATATGGGTTTACGGTCATGAGGTCCGGTTCGATCATCTCGTTTCCGGGGGTTACTGCTTCTTACCGAGATAGGGACCACAGAAGGACGTGCCCGTTGAAAGAACTTGACATTTCACCTGCGCTTATGCGGTGCTAGTAGCACAATGTGTTCAGAATCATGCAACCCATAGGGTGTTGCTCTTTTTTCAAGGTACTGAACTGAGGGGAAAAAAAGTTTGGTAACAAGTACTCATTGCAGCAATGAATGCTTTTTTTAAAGGTTTTACACGAAGACCGCAAGTTACAATGATACCCAGAATGAGTTCGAAGATGAATGTGGCCGCGAAACCGATGCCTGACCTATGCAATCGTTAGGATTCCAACTTGTTAGCCTTCCCTCATTGAAACCGGAGGACCTCGGTCACGCAGCAACTGAGATCCGGAGGAAATTCGCATAGAGCGCGCGATATTGGCTGCTCGATGGGCCGATCGAGAAATGTGCCCGTATTTGCATATGCGACAGCTCCGCAGCCAAACGCCACAAAATATGAATTGGGAGTTTTCGCATAATTCTTCCTCATCGTCCAAGGATGTGCCTTTGCGAAATGAAATTTCAGGATTCGCCTTGCGAGAGGGACTTCCAGGCAACTTCCAGGGTGAATCAGAATTTTAAACTCTCGTCTCGCCATCTTCAGGACGGAGGAGGAGACGAGAGTCGACGCTGGACTCGTAAGGGGTCGGACGCGTTGCTCACCGCTCCCGTCGGTTCAGAATGTCAAGCGTCCTTATTGAAATACCGAGGGATCCGTGAGTTCGAAGCCACTTGCGGCCAGGCGGAAACCCATCGACTCAGTTTCATTGCGTGGTTTCCATCTTTCAAAATGCTGTATCACGCATTTGCAGAACGACTCGCTCTTTCTTCCCATTCACTCGTTGGCAAACGCTAAAGAAGAACGCAATGGAGACGACGAGCGCGACAGTTGCTCGCGCCTCTCTCTCTTCCTTTAGGATGGACTTACGTCCCTCCTACATCCTAATTGGAAGAAGGAACTTCGGACAGGAGCTTGCAGTGAAAAGGATGCATGGCATCTTCTAGGAGGCACGGATTGGCCCCATCTGCCACGGGGGATGGGGCCAAACTGATGGCAAAACTTGAATGGGTTCTGAGTCACGTTCCAGCTCTTCTCGTTCCTATTTCTAGTAATCGCCTGTCTCGTCATTTCGTAACGTGATTGCAGCGAGTCGAAAGCCTTTGCTTTTTCTTCTACACTTTCTCGAAAAAAAAAATTATCATTGGATTTTTGCCCGAGCCAAGACGTTGCCTCAGCCTCGTCCATCCGGCGTCCATCCGGCCTCCGAGAGAAACGGACGCGCCGCGCGGCCGACGTACCTTGTCCCGAAGGCGCGTCGAGTCGATGCTCCGGGCTCGCGGCGGTTCTGGTCCCTCCGGCGATCGCTGGCTCCGCGCTGGGCGAGGCGGTTCTGTGGGCGCGTCAAGGCGGGGAAAATATGCGGAATTCAGGGAGAGGAGCCTTCGCTGGACGGAGTGAAACAAAGAAGTTTTTTCCGTACTTTTCCAGAGACAGAATGTATCGTTCCAAGAACTCCACTCTCTTCCATAATTCCACGTCGCTTTTGAGACGGTCTTCCTTCTCGGTGGAACTTTCAGTGTTTTCCGTTTCTTCATCAGTGATGGCCTCGGTTGTCTGCATCGCGTCGCCTTTCAATCCGGTGTGAATTCTCCTTGAACTCCCTAAGGAAAAATGTGCCTGTTTAGAGAGCGATTTGTGGCTGACGATAAAGTATCAACAATCAGGAGACATTACGCGAGAAGTGATAACGTATTCAACCGCCAAGATTTTTGGGACGCTATTCTTCCCGTCGAACCTAGCGAGGCACCTTAGTGTATTTCATTTTGCAATCCTGACCACTGTCGGAACTGCAATTCTGTTCAGGTCGTGGAAGAGTCGAATAACCCGGCAGAACAATACATTGGGCCCACGTTGGCTGCGAGTGAAAACAAGTGGGCCAACATCGCAGTGGGCTGCCCGTGTTGGCCCCACATTGGCGCTAGGGCGGGAGCCAACATTTGTCATGACTCAGGATCCAACATCCATATCAGTGATTTGAACAAAAAGCTTCCTACAGCATATGCGGCCGCTATTTCAGTGGGATCAGGGAGCGATTCATTAATTTAAGACCCCAGTACCTTTATTGCGGTACTTGATCCATTTCCATAGAAAACGTAAAAGGTGACACTCAAACGTCTCTAGTAGTATAAAAAGGGTAGGATCGACCGGAGGCGCAATATCTTATTTCTTATATAACCATAATTTCATATGATTTAACCTCAGGTCATCATTGATTTAAACGAGTACGCAATGAATTACCGTTGAATTATCGGCTGCACGATGATTTGCATTATCCGCGTACCTTTATGAAGAGATTTTTCGATTTGGTAAATATTATGTCATGAATTTTGCGTCATAAAATCCCTGTTTAATTGACTCCCGTCATTACCGTTTTGCATCAGGGAAGTCAATAGGGTCGGATTCCATTATACCCACGTGTTTGGACACGTTATCTCCCGATGACGAATTGATCGTGCTGGCCCCCTTTTTCCGTCGCGCTATTTTTACACAACCCACCCTCATGGTCATTAACCCTGAGTTGCGGAGGGGAGCAATGAGCATGTTGGAAAGAAAATGTACAAGATTCGAGTATCCTGGTGTCACTTTCAGTCGAGAAGATGGAAGGTGATAGCACTGACGCTGCGCTCGTCAAGCCCAACGAGAATTTCGCCCTCGCGTTGTTCACTGAGAACAAACGCAGGAAGACTTTCAACTGTGTTTCTGCAATAGCTGGTTACGTGAATGTGGACGAGCTCGTCAGGTGGGGATTCTATCTGGACGTTGATCCAAATTTCAAGGTACTGAACTGAGGGGAAAAAAAGTTTGGTAACAAGTACTCATTGCAGCAATGAATGCTTTTTTTAAAGGTTTTACACGAAGACCGCAAGTTACAATGATACCCAGAATGAGTTCGAAGAAGAATATGGCCGCGAAACCGATGCCTGACCTATGCAATCGTTAGGATTCCAACTTGTTAGCCTTCCCTCATTGAAACCGGAGGACCTCGGTCACGAAGCAACTGAGATCCGGAGGAAGTTCGCATAGAGCGCGCGATATTGGCTGCTCGATGGGCCGATCGAGAAATGTGCGCGTATTTGCATATGCGACAGCTCCGCAGCCAAACGCCACGAAATATGAATTGGGAGTTTTCGCATAATTCTCGTCCAATGATGTGCCTTTGCGAAATGAAATTTCAGGATTCGCCTTGCGAGAGGGATTTCCAGGCAACTTCCCGGGTGAATGAGAGTTTCACTCTCGTCTCGCCATCTTCAGGACGGACGAGGAGACGAGAGTCAACGCTGGACTCGTAAGGGGTCGGACGCGTTGCTCACCGCTCCCGTCGGTTCAGAATTTCAAGCGTCCTTATTGAAATACGGAGGGATCCGTGAGTTCGTAGCCACTTCCGGCCAGGCGGAAACCCATCGACTCAGTTTCATTGCGTGGTTTCCATCGTTCAAAATGCTGTATCACGCATTTGCAGAACGACTCGCTCTTTCTTCCCATTCACTCGTTTGCAAACGCTAAAGAAGAACGCAATGGAGACGACGAGCGCGACAGTTGCTCGCGCCTCTCTCTCTTCCTTTAGGATGGACTTACGTCCATCCTACATCCTAATTGGAAGAAGGAACTTCGGGCAGGAGCTTGCAGTGAAAAGGATGCATGGCATCTTCTAGGAGGCACGGTTTCGTCCCATCTGCCACGGGGGATGGGGCCAAACTGATGGCAAAACTTGAATGGGTTCTGAGTCACGTTCCAGCTCTTCTCGTTCCTATTTCTGGTAATCGCCTGACTCGTCATTTCGTAACGTGATTGCAGCGAGTCGAAAGCCTTTGCTTTTTCTTCTACACTTTCTCGAAAAAAAATTATCATTGGATTTTTGCCCGAGCCAAGACGTTGCCTCAGCCTCGTCCATCCGGCGTCCATCCGGCCTCCGAGAGAAACGGACGCGCCGCGCGGCCGACGTACCTTGTCCCGAAGGCGCGTCGAGTCGATGCTCCGGGCTCGCG